TATTTTTTTTAAAAAAGGATTAGCAATTTGAATTTCATCAATTATATTGGTTGGGACTAGGTTGTCTGCACTGTATTTCTAGTTTTTTCATTAGATTTTTGTTTTTTATCACAGTCAGTTAATGTTGATTGCTTTTTAAGTGATTTTACAAGTAATCTTCTTAATTTGGAATCCATTTGTTGGACAGATGGTGTAAAATTTTTCCCTTTGTGAAATTTTTTAGGAGGTCTAAACCTATATCGGTTCTAGAGGATAGAAAGAAATTGAGCATTTCAAACAATTAAGTTAGTTTATCTAATTATTGAAAATGATTATGGGAATTAATCAATTTTTATAATTTTTTTATACAATTGATCGAAGATATCTCGGCACCCATCTAACTGAATTTGGTCATCTTTTTATTTTATTTTAATTGTACAAAGCTGTAGATTTCAAAGAAAAAAAAATTCACCTAATTTGGTCAAGTGGTGTCAAAATATCTTCGGTCAAAGTTTTTGTAAAATTCTAAACGTCCAGCAAATATAAGCTGCGGCAAAATAATTTTCAAACTTTGATCGAATATATCTCGGCACCCACCTGACTAAATTCGATCAACTTTTTTTTTTTTAATTTTAGAAAGCTTTAGAATTTAAAGAAAAAAAATTTCATCCAATTTGATCAGGTGGTTGTTGAGATATCTTCAATAAAGTTAAAAAAAAAAAATTTAAAAAATTACAATGATCTACATGTAGGGTGAGGAGCACAAAAATTTTTTGGGCATGCCCCTATAAATATATACATACTAATATTGTTTATAGAAGCAGTTAATATTCTAATATTAACCAATCAAAAGGCATCTTCAGTTAATATATATCAAATAAAAAGGCATGCCTTTTAGCTTAAAGGCATGCACAAGGGGCATACCCAAGAATCCTGTGCCCTTCACCCTATCTACATGGGTGTGGAATTATCAAAAAGGGTATAGAAATATCTGATTATTTGTTCCAAATTTATAATATTTACCTGGCTTTGTTTATTTTGGCGCTGCTGTTCCTTGTGCAGTTGATCGCACAAACAATCTACAAAGTTTTAACAAAGCATAACACTAACACCTTTAGACGGAGTGAATGTAAGTCTAATAGCATCGTCAAAAATTTCTGTAAGAGGATTGTCATTAAGTGAATGCAATCGCCCATCTTTATTCACTTTGTAATACTATAATAATATAAGTTTATGACAATTTAATCATGACTCATAAAGTTTTCAATAAGTAGTGTATAGTTATTATTTTTATCATTACTTACACTTTTTTCATAACCTCGTTTTAGATTTATCGTTATTTTTCCAAATTTGGTTAATTTTGTAAATCTGATATCTCTAAAGAATAAATGAATCTGTGTTCACCCACTGAAATAGCAACTGCTCCTATATCGGGACATAAAATCAACAAAATGGATGAATTTTGTATTGAAGGGAGCCATTGATTGTTATTAGTTATATGCTCAATTTTTATTTTGCTTGAATGTTTCATATATATGGGATTTTCGCTATACCAATTATCTTTTTCGAAAATATCAAAAAAAAATAATGAATATATATGATAGTGGAAATGAAATAAATTAGTACAACAAATTAATATAATAAATATTCGCAATCATTTTCTTCATTTTCTTCTATTTCATGATCACTAGCACTAGTATTCTCATCCATAGTAGAGTTTATAAAAAAATTATCAGAATGAATGTATTTATTTATCCTTAGCGCAGAAGATTATCATACTAAATTTGTAAAATGTATGCGATGCTCAACTATTAATGTGATAGTTTCCAAAAGAGAGAACAATAAAATTTCTCCGAATCTTGGATATATGAAAAATATTTTGGTCAGGTTAGCTATGCTGGTAATAGTAAAATTATTAGCTGGGCACTTTTTACTTAACGAACAATTGTTTCATTAGCAGTTAGCAAAATTCTTTAGTAAATGTTTTTATTTTAATTCCACAAGTTAATAGAATTAAAATAAAAAAATTTTATCGAATTAGTTAGAAGGTCGTTGAGAAATCTTTGCTTAAAGTTTAAAAAGGGTAAAAATCCCTAAGGGCGTTCTCAAGCACCACCTCAATGAATTCAATAAAAAATCTGATTGGGTAATTTAATTAAACTGACCAATCAGATTCGTTATTGAGTCCATTGAGGTAGGTGCTTGAGAACATCCTAAGCTGTAGTAAAATTTCTTTTTTTCGACTATGTAATTACTGAAAAATATTTATTTATTGTTTCCTTTTTATAGGCACAAAAATTTTAAGCAAAGTTTCTTAATAAATTTCTAACCAAATTCAATAAAATTTTTTTATTTTAATTATATAGGACTACAGAATTGAAATAAAAAAAAATTATCGAATTAGTTAGATGGTCGTTAGATGGTCATTGAGAAATCTTCGCTTAAAGTTTGAAAAAAAGGGTAAAAATCTCCAAGGGCGTTCTCAAGCACCTACCTCAATGAATTTAATAAAAAATCTGATTGGCTAGTTTAATTAAACTGACCAATCAGATTCGTTATTGAGTCCATTGAGGTGGGTGTTTGAGAACATCCTAAGCAGTAGTAAAATTTCTTTTTTTCGACTATGTAATCACTGAGAAATATTTATTTATTGTTTCCTTTTTATAGGCACAAAAATTTTAAGCAAAGTTTTCTTTAAAGTTTAAAAAAAGGGTAAAAATCTTCAAGGGCGTTTTCAAGCACCTACCTCAATGAATTCAATAAAAAATCTGATTGGCTAGTTTAATTAAACTGACCAATCAGATTTGTTATTAATTCCATTAAAGTAGGTGCTTGAGAACATCCTAAATTATTGTGATTGCGATCATGATTGTTAAAGCCAGCCAATTAATCATGAATCTAAATTTGTGTCAAACTCAGACTTATGATAAATTGGCAATTGCAATCACAATCATCTGATCATAAAAAAATAGAGAATTTACAAATAAGGGTCTGAAAAGTAAAAATAATTATATAAAGGCTTGATTTTTGAAAAATATTACATATAGGGGTCCAAATATATCAATAGTTGAAAAATGTGATCACGAGATTACTATGCCGCAAAGGGGATCCTTTTAACTCACCAACAATCACTTTGAAGACACCACATTTTACCAAACCCATTTTACTGACAAGATTTTTTTACAAATAATTAATTCACTGACATTTAATTTACCGACATGCTTGTTTTACTAACTTGTTAATTTTCACCAACACAAAAATTCACTGAAAATTATTTTATAGACAGTTTAAATTTACAGACAAGCTTTCTTTACTAACACTAAAATTTACCGACAATATATTTTACCAACAATAAAGGGTAGGACTAGTGTTGGTGGTAGAATTACAGCTGTTTTCATAAATTCTGAGACACCCTAAAAAAATTTGCTGAAGTCGATAAATAATTGATTTCGGTATAATTAGTATAATAAAATAATTAAGAGAAGCTATTTTTGGATCATAATGATTATTTTACAATATCATAACAATAATGTCAACGTAGTTTGTATGAGAATTTATGGAAAAAGCTTTCATATCAACCAATAAACCTTAACAAGAAATGTAAAAAGAAATCGAATATAAACTAGACTCTTATAATAAATATA